AGTAGCTGGGATTACAGATATGCACCACCATGCCCAGCTAATTTTTACACTTTTAGTAGAGATGGGGTTTCACCATGTTGGCCAGGCTGGTCTCAAACTCCTGACCTTAAGCGATCCTCCCACCTCAGCCTCCCAAAGTGCTGGGATTACAGGCATGAGCCACTATGCCCAGCCGGTACTTTTAAGAATTTATTGAGTTAATGCTTAAGATTTCTACAAACTAACCCAGCTATATACTGTCTCTCTTTGAAAGGAGTTAAGTTTTCCATCCCTCTTTCATGCCACCTGGACAGAGGTACTACAGTAACTGGTTAAAATAACAGACTATGGAATCAGAACACCTCAATTCCAATCCCAGCTCCGCCACTTTCCAGTGGTGCAACATTGGCAACTTAGTTAAGTACGGTGGGCTTCAGTTTGTAACATGGGAAGAAAATGTCAAGATCCTGGAGTCCCTGGAAAGCCCACAGAACAGGCCCAGCATACAGCAAACCCTCAGGAGTACTATGACGTCGATACATGAGAACTTCAGCCCTTGGCAAGGTTCTCACAGTTTACTTATTTCGACTGATTCAACTGTCAGTAACCCATTTCATGCATCATCACAAATTTGGCAACTGCTCCAGCTTTCAGAAGCCCAGGTCCCAAAGGCCTGCAAGCTCTCCACAGCCAAGAAAGGCAGTTTGGAATGTGAAAGGCACAGGGGCAGTGAGGGAGTCATCCACGCCTTACGCTGCACACTTCCAGAATGGGTACATTTTCCTATGCCAAGGACATATTCATGCATTGCTTGGGCAAATTAAAAAGCACTTTTTTTCATGTAAAAGAAACATCCATGATTGAGTACTCAACAACAGTATCACCAACTATTATGCCCTGAAGGAAGGTCTCTGGAAGACAGAGATCAAAATCCAAGTATTCTGGTCTGTTTTGTTATTTTAAACATCATCTGAATAAGTTTGGTTGTCTGATTTTATAGACTGTAGAAATTGACAACTGCACGTTAGAAGAGAGGAGGGACAATACTGTGTGGTTGAAAAGAATGCTGAATTTGAAACCAGACAGACAGAGCTGGGCTGCTCACTAACCATGTAAGTTTAACTACTTGGAACCTTCTTTCTTCATCTGTAAAATGGGTATAATTGAACCAACTTTATAAGCATGTTTTGAGGATTAAATGAGATTACGTATATAAAGCACTCAGATCTATGCCAAAAGCATAAAGCACATTCTGAAAACAGCAATGAAAATTATGCTCAACCATACGAAACTGCTGTTTCTCTAAGTCAAAAACAGTTGAAGAGAGTCAAACTGACAGACAGGCTGGGCAGGCAGATGCTCTTGTGGAGTAGTGAGGATCTGGGAGTGTGGGGTGCCCGGGGCAGGGCCTGAGGGCAGGGGAGCAGGTATTTACTGATGAGTGTGGTGTATTTCAACGTTTAGAAAAATGGCTCAGCTCTACCATCAGCGCACAGTCCATGAGTCCATGCTGACTAAAGCAAAGACAAAGCCCAGGGGAAACGTTTGCTTTTCAATTGTCATGAGAATTCAAAGTGTGAGAAACCACAGCTATGGAGCAAGTGGCCAAGGAATCCCACACACCTTAAATATCACTGAGGGCATGGTGTGCTATGGAGGGAATAACCAGTGCTCAGAACAATGACCCCAGAGTTTCTTCACTCAAGATTAAATTAATCTTCCATTTAAGATGACAATGTAGAATACATTTCAGGGTGAAAAAATCCTCAATTTCATAAAAGTTCAACTTTGTAACAAAGTGTTAGCGGGAGAAAGGATGACATAGAACAGACAAACAGAAGCACAGCAGCAGCTGCCAGTGGCCGGGGGAGGAGGGAGTGGCTACCTAACGGGTCCAGAGCTTCCGTTTGGGATGATATAAAGTTGTGGAACTAGACAGTGGAGATGCATGTTCAACACTGTGAATGTACTTAATCCCACTGAAGTGTGTACTTTAAAATGGTAACAGAACAAAATTTTATGTTATGTGTATTTTACCACAATTTTTTAAAGCACACACCAAAAAAACAGACAATATTTGAGTGCTTTCTATACTAAGCCCTCTATGTATACTATGTACCAAAAATGCTGTGAAGTAAATATTATTATTATTGTTTCTTTTCTTAGAGTCTCATTCTGTTACTCAGGCTGGAGTGCAGTAGTGTGATCACAGCTCACTGCAGCTTTGAAATCCTGAGCTCAAGCGATCCTCCCATCTCAGCCTCCCAAGTAGCCGGGAACACAGGCATGTGCCACCATGCCTCGCTAATTTTGTTTTACCTTTTTTTTTTTTGAGATGGAGTTTTGCTCTGTCACCCAGGCTGGAGTGCAATGGCATGATCTCGACTCACTGCAACCTTTGCCTCCCAGGTTCAAGTGATTCTCCTGCCTCAGCCTCTAATTAGCGGGGATTACAGGCACCCGCCACCAAGCCTGGCTAGTTTTTTGTATTTTTAGTAGAGACGGGGTTTCACCATGTTGCCCAGGCTGGTCTCGAACTCCTGACCTCAGATGAGCCACCCACCTCAGCCTCCCAAAGTGCTGGGATTACAAGGTATGAGCTACCACACCTGGTCTTTTTAACTTTTTTTGAAGACATGGGGTCTCCTATGTTGCCCAGGCTGGTCTTGAACTCCTGGCCTCAAGTAATCCTCCCACCTCAGCCTTCCAAAGTGCTGGGATTACAGATGTGAGCCACCGTGCCAGGCTGAGGTAAATATTATTATCCTCATTTTACAGGAAGAAACTGTACCTCATGAAACAAGGCAATGTAGTTTCCCCAAATTGCACACAACCAGTAAGCAGCGAGGCCAGGATTTGAACACCAGCTGACAGAGCTCCAGGGCTGGGTCTCTGCAACGCTTAGACCAACTCATGCTTAGAAAACTCACTCATGTGAAACTTGCATAGCTCAATAATGCTGGCAGCTGAGGTGTTAGAAAGCTTAGGTGAAGTCAGTAAGAGAGTCTACGTAAATCTTGACTCTTGGAAGCAGGTTTTTAATAAAGGATAGGAATACTGAATTATTTTGGAACACTAAAAGGTCCACACCTTCATTTTTCATGATGTAGTGGACGATTTGCCCAACAGTGTCACTGTTTTCATTCATACTGTCGTTCAATTCTGAAAGAGAAAAGAGGAGGGGAGAACAGGTTACAACTGGTCACCAGCATCAAGTCAATCAGTCTTAGAACCCAAGACCTCACTGAACAGTTTCCAGGAGCCTCAAGAGATCACCCAAGGTGCTACGATTCTAGGCTTTCTCCCTCCAGCTCCAAACTTCCTCATGCATAACAAGCATAAAGAGAAAGTACCAGAGCTGTCCGTCTATCTCTTCTGAAGTTCAAATGCTCACTCACTTTCCAGACAATAATTTGAAAATGCATTTGTACCAGTCCTCATTATTATTTCTCTCTCATCATTTCCTTAAAGCCTTAGGAGAAATGGGAAGAAGAAAGCTCATTTAAAAAGAAAAAATTCTCCTTGGATTTTATTTTAATTGTAGACTTACTATATCAATTTACAATATTAATTTCCTTTTTAAATTGGATCATAATTCATCCATGTTCATCAGACTGTCCTATCCTCTGAAATACACTTTCAAATTACCTGCATTCAGGGCTTGGTTATTTGTCCACAAACTCAGTTTACTTTGGGGACTCTGTACCAGGAGTGTACATGATATCTTTGGGAAAAAAAGCAAACCACTCTGGAACCAATCTGCAAAATCTGTTTCAATAAGACAAGGAGAACAAGGGAGGGTTGAAACACTCCATCCTAGTTCACAGAGAATACATCAAGGTGTGCAATGTCCTACTCATTTACAAGGAAAATGTCTTCTCCATCCAAAGGTCAGCTTTCCCCCACGTGAACATGCATGTTTGGTTAGACAGCTCAGAAGCTGGCCGCTAAGCCAACCTACAGAGCATCTGGGAAGGAGGAGAGGGGGAGGCTCCACTTGCTGTTGACAAACACTTGGCTTCGGTTTGCTCACAGGCTCATACATGACTCATCACGCAATCCTAATCCTTCTCAGCCTCAAAGGTCAGTGGGGGTGGGAAAAACCAACAGTCCAGCAAGCTGGCAAGGAACGAGGAACCTCCCCCCAGCCAGCCCTGCTTTGCCCGAAGGGCAACCTACTTCAGTGTCACCTTTCTCCATAAACTGCCCTTAGTGGGGCCGAAAGGAATAGGGGGAGTCACCTACTACCTCTCAAGGCCCAAGTCAGGAAACATCCCTAAAGATGATGGGAAAGAAACATCAGCGGAGAAAACAGGATTTCGTCTCCCAGGTTTTTCTAAACACTACCTTATGGCTCCACGTTAGGAGCAAAAGATGAGACAGCCTGAAGTTAGTACTAAGGCACCAGTTCTTGCCATACCTTTTTCTGCACTGTACACATGATCGTTTACTTAATGAACACGAATTCCAATCACAAATATTTAAGATAGAACTCCCCCAGCAAAAGCAACATCACAAACATGGTGAGACCTATTTTAATTTTTCCTTCACTCTTATTCAAATCTGATTCCATAATAATAGTAAGGATTAATATTTAATGAGTGGTCATATATTCCAAACACCAAATGCATCTTTCCTCTAAATTTCACAGAAACCCCAAAAGGTGAGGACTGTTTTCCTCATTGAAATTAAATTAAAATGTCAAATGAATAAGATTAAATTAATTAAAAATACATTTAAGTAAAATTATACAGAGCAGACTCAGAGTACACAATAACTTGTCTAAGGCCACTGGGCAAGAATGGGTGCCCTGTCTGGCAGGTCAGATATTCAGTAAAGAAAGCAAGTTTTCAAACTAGGTATAATTACTGCGCATCTGCACTTACGCTACACTGCACCACCTGCCACTAAAATGGATCATTCTGCCTCAGAGAGATGGAAAGCATATATCACTGATTTCATATTTTAAAACTGTCTCCTCACCCCCAATAAAAAGAACCCTGGTTATTTACCTATCTTTTCAACCTTTTCTTCTTCGATATCTTGCTCTGCTTCTGTCGTACAACGATAGCCTTTCTTCTTAAGCAGGTGGCAAATGAGGACGCCGAAGAGACCCATGATAAAGAACACAGGGACAAGCGCATATGCAATATATTCTGGGTGTCCATTCCCAGTATCGTTGCTGGGCGACGGGGTCGTCTCTGTTCTGGAGTGCAACGTGCGGCTGCTCCCATTGTCTACAGAAAGAAACATGCATGCTGCATTAGGTATCTGTCCAGGGCAAGAAAACCCTAATGACTATCAGGTAATGTTCAGAGTAAATCAGGGTCTGCTCCCAAAACCACAGGCCATGGAGACTGGTGGGTCTGGCTGCGGAGGCACAAGATAGCCCAGGTCTGGGCTCAAACAGTCTGAGTTTAACTCTGTTACTCATGAACCGGGTCCCACGCTGGGTCATTTTTTAAAAAACCCTTTGAAGACAGCTGCTTCTTCATTGTGGAATGAGTATACAGGGTTGTAGTGAAGGGTCCAGCACAGAACAAACACATAAACATTACATGTAACATTACAAACATTACATAAACATTACATTACATTATAGCACGGTTCTTAGTGATTAAGAGAACGGCCTCAGGACACTCAAGTTAATGCCTAGCTCCACCATTTAGCAGCTCTGTGACAATGGACAAGAACTTAATTAACCTCTTGATGCTTTGCTTTCTTATGAAATGGGCATACTAATACTACTTACCCACCCTTCTAGGATTGTTATGAAGATGAAATAAATTATTACATGTAAACTAGCAATCAACATTGCAAATAGTCACCCACATGCCAGACACCGTTCTAGGCACTTGTGATGCAAGCACATCACACTGAGCAAAACAGGCAGAGATCGTTGTCCTCATGCAGCTTACATTCTAGGAGGACTGAGTAAACTAGCAGATCTAGAGTATGAAGAGAGGGAAAAGTCAGGGATAGCATCAAGATCTTGGCCCGGGGCACAAACATAAAAATGGAAGTGAGTGCACTTGTTTATCTGTTCACTAATCCCCATAAACACTGAACACATGCCAGTTATGTGACAAGCACCACACTAGGTGGGAACTGGACAGAGTGATGAACAACGTAACGCAGCCCCTGCCATCTTGAGGCTTGTAGGATGGCATCAGAAATAGCCATTAAACAAGTATGCATGGGCCGATCGTGACAGATTGTGAGAAATGCTGTGGAAGGAACACACGGGGCACTAGAAGAGAAAAGAAGAGTGAGGATCTATTTTATGACTTCAAGAATAGGGAAGCTGTGAAGTGGGTATCTTTTGGAGAAAAGGGGAAGTTGTTGCCTTTAGACATGTCAAAGTATCATATGAATATATATATGAGAGGCAGTTTGATATCTTAGCCTGCAGGGGTGCCACATGGACTCCGGAAAGCAGTGAGCCTGGAGCACACAATTACACCATGTGGCCAATTGAGACAGCAGGAAGAACACACTGGGCTGGGCACGGTGGCTCACACCTGTAATCACAGCACCTTGGGAGGCTGAGAGGGGGGCAAATCACTTGAGATCAGGAGTTCGAGACCAGCCTGGGCAACATGGTGAAACCCCATCTCCACTAAAAATGCAAAAATTAGCTGGGCATTGTGGTACACAACTGTAGTTCCAGCTACTTGGAAGGCTGAGGTGAGAGGATCGCTTGAGCCTGGGAGGCAGAGGTTGCAGTGAGCCGAGATTGCACCACCGCACTTCAGCCTGGGTGACAGAGCAAGGCGTCTCAAAATAAATAAATAAATAAATAAAATTAAAAATTATTAAAAAGTTAGCCTTATATATGTTCCCGTCACACAGTAAGCACTATAAATGTGTTAGCTACCACTATTAGTATTTAGGCTGGGCACAGTGGCTCATGCCTGTAATCCCAACACTTTGGGAGGCCAAGGCAGGCAGATCACTTGACGCCAGAGTTCAGGAAGAATACACTGTGTAGCAAAAGAATCAGCAGAGCGCCATGCCATGGAAAAATGAGGAAAGAAGTACAAAATGAAGGTGGGGGAGTCAGGTAGATGAGAACCAAAGAAAACTGCCGGGTTTGACTGAAACGAAGCTTCAGTATTTAGAATATCCTGACTGTGAAGGGATAAAATGAGCTTTTCTTCATCAAGGGAGGTTCACACACATTGCTCAAGAAACCCAGAAATTGGAAAGCTAGAGACATTTAAACATAAGCTTTCTCAAGAGAAGTTTGGTGAGAAAAGAATCCGTATTGTAAGTGAGAGCGGCAGGAGGCAGCCAAATGCCCAGGCAGACAGGGGCGGGTCCCTGGTGAAACCCCACCTCCATGCTGAAGACAGTTTAAAGCCTGAAAGCCAAGTTACAAGTTAAATCCTCCGACCAGATGGAGGACTTTTCTTCCCATTTGGTGCACTCTCCTCACAAACCAATCAGCACGCACCCCCCATTCTGAGTCCATAAAAGGCCCCAGACCCAGTCACACGGGAGGAACTTCAAGTAGGGGAACCATTCCCCAGAACCCCACATTGCCTCTCTGCTGAAAGCCGTTTTCATTCCTCAACGAAATTCTTCTCTGCCCTCCTCACCCTTCAATGTGTCGTGTATCCTCGTTCTTCTTGGGTGAACTACAAGAGCTTGGGAACTGCTGGAAACGGGTACAAGCTATACCAAAGGCGAGAGCTGAAGCACTCCAGCCAAGCGAGGCCTGGGCAGGGCTTCGCCAGCTGGGAGGTCCCCAGTTTACAAAGTGACCCCAGTTACAAACTCCTGCATCATAATGGGAACAAATACCTGGTATGAAATGAGCACAGTTCATCACAGCAGCAAACAATATCAAACAGAAGTTGATTTGCAAACCAGAGGCCACAGAACAAAGGCTACCTCTCTTTCACATGGAAATATCCATTATCTTTGAACATGAAAGGAAATAATTGGTTTCTTAGGTTTGTAAGAGGTTGCATTCATTACTTTATCAGACAACCTCCAGAATTTGAAATAGCCTGTGTTTTCTGATTTCTCCCTGAAGAATCAATATAATAAATAAATCCCTAAATATATGCAATATACCATCTAAGTTAGGGTTTAACCTCATGGCTTATTTTCAATAAAAACCAGAAACACTTATTTAACTCCTTTTATGGTCCTAAAACAATAAGTTTTCTTTATTAATTCCTTTATATAACACATATTCCATGCAACAAGAATAGGTGAAGTAAGCAGCACGCTGAGATCAAGGAGCTTTCCTCAGAATCACCGTCTGTTTCAATATGGGGGTGATAATAAATGCTTTTTGGGGAGACAATGGGAAACCGATGAAAGCAGAGGGGCTCAGAATTGGAGTCAAACACCTCCTTCTGACTCAGGTGATTGAGAAAGTGTCTTTAAGGGAGGAGACCACCCCTCATATTGTCTTATGCCCAGTTTCTGCCTTCAAAGAAAGAAGTAAAAACTAAAAGGCAGAAATGAAATCCACAGGCAGACAGCCGGGCGCCGCACCCTGGGCCTGGTAGTTAAAGATCGACCCCTGACCTAATCGGTTCTGTTATCTATAGATTACAGACATTGTACAGAAATGCACTGTGAAAATTCCTATCTTGTTTTGTTCTGATCTAATTACCGGTGCATGCAGCCCCCCCCCCCCCGCCCCCGTCACGTACCCCCTGCTTGCTCAATCAGTCACCACCCTCTCACACGCACCCCCTTAGAGTTGTGAGCCCTTAAAAGGGACAGGAGTTGAAAAGGGGCAGGAATTGCTCACTTGGGGAGCTCGGCTCTTGAGACAGAAGTCTTGCCGAGGCCCCTGGCCAAATAAACCCCTTCCTTCTTTATTTCGGTGTCTGAGGAGTTTTGTCTGCGACTCGTCCTGTTACATCTTCATGGTGAATTTGACATGCGGCAAACCCTTACAAACACTACGTATCTACAGAGCTCTGTGACTTACAAACGTGTCATTCACTTAATTTCATAATTATCGTGCCATGAAAAAACTGAAGATATGAATCTAAATTAGCGAAGCATACAAATTATAGGGAGATGCAATATAGCACGTGTTCGGCCTCTGAGCCAAAGCTAAGCCATCATATCCCCCGTGACCTGCACATACATGGCCGGTTCCTGCCTTAACTAATGACATTCCACCACAAAAGAAGTGAAAATGGCCTGTTCCTGCCTTAACTGATGACATTACCTTATGAAATTCCTTTTCCTGGCTCATCCTGGCTCAAAAGCTCCCCCACTGAGCACCTTGCGACCCCTACCCCTGCCCGCCAGAGAACAACCCCCTTTGACTAATTTTCCTTCACCTACCAAATCCTACAAAACAGCCCCACCTCTATCTCCCTTCGCGGCCTCTCTTTTCAGACTCAGCCCGCCTGCACCCAGGTGATTAAAAAGCTTTATTGCTCACACAAAGCCTGTTTGGTGGTCTCTTCACACGGAGCGCATGACAGTACTCAGATTAAAAGCTCAGACCTGGCAGAAATAACAGACAAGTTATCTGGCCACATACTAGACATGTCATCTTAGGCGAGAAATTTTAACTGTTCTGTACTCTGTTTCCTCTCATAAAAAGGATCAAAATCAATGTGACTAATCTGTGATAATTTTAAAGGATGGCCCTGTGAAATAAAAATCTAATCTCGGACCCCAGTTTACTATGCCAAAAGAAAAAAATTAAGCTGAAAGCTGAGTCATTCAAGAAACTGCCTTTCCTTTTGTTCTTAGGCAGATAGCTACCGATAAAAGGTTAAGCATCTGCACAGGCAGCTAGCTACTCCATGCTCACCTTATCTTAGGTAAAGTGTTGACTGACTGACATAATTGACTATCACCCTGCTCGCTCATTTTCCCTTGCAGCAGGTAGATTCAGTAATGTGGCCATCTGCTCCCTCTTTCCTCTTTAAGTATTGAAACCCTCAAAATCTTCTTTGGAAAATGCCATGAACCACAGATTGTTCCTGTGGATTTGAGATCCTTTTCTCTGGGCATGTCCTTAACCTTTGCAAAATAAACTTCTAAATTGATTGAGACCTGTCTCAGATACTTTTTGGTTTCCAGCTTCAAAATTATTTGATACTGCTTCTCCTGAGAGGTGAGGTCTGTATCTCCTTCCCTCACATTTATACTCTTCTCTCCCTGACCCACAGAATGTGTTGGGAGTGATGCATTATCACTTTGCAGCCTCAGGCAACAAGAAACTGACAACTTCCACTTTCTGTTTCTT